CTGGAGGACATGCCGGTGATTAGTGAGTATCCGGACGTATTTCCGGAGGAGTTGGGGTCATTGCCACCCGAAAGAGAAATTGAATTTAAGGTTGACCTAGCATCCGGAACTACTCCCATTTCGAAAACCCCTTATCGAATGGCACCCGTCGAACTTAAGGAGTTAAAAGTTCAGTTGCAAGACTTGCTAGAACGGGGATTCATACATGAGAGTGAGTCACCATGGGGTGCTCCAGTGCTATTTGTTAAAAGGAAGGATGGGAGTTTAAGATTATGCATTGATTATCGAGGTTTGAATGCAGTAACCGTTAAGAATAAATATCCTTTGCTCCACATCGATGAGTTGTTTGATCAATTATAAGGGGCGGTGGTGTTCTCTAAGTTGGATCTTCGACAAGGGTATTATCAATTGAGAATCAGAAAGGAGGATGTGCCAAAAACGGCCTTTAACACTCGATATGGGCATTTCGAGTTTGCAGTAATGCCTTTCGGCTTAACTAATGCTCCAGTGGCGTTCATGGATCTAATGCATCGAGTGTTTAAACCCTATTTGGATAAATTCGTGGTGGTGTTTATTGATGATATCCTGGTGTATTCAAAGACAAGGGAGGAACATGAACAACACTTGAGGATAGTATTACAAACCCTAAGAGAGCACCAGTTGTTCGCCAAGTTTAGCAAGTATGAATTTTGGCTGGAGAAAGTGGCGTTCTTAGGCCATATCATTTCAAAAGATGGACTTACTGTGGATCCGGCCAAAGTGGAAGCTGTAGCCAAATGGAAACGGCCAGAGAATCCTACTGAAGTATGAAGCTTTTTGGGCCTAGCGGGGTATTGTGACGCCCCGAAAAAAAATGAGTTTGAGAACCCGGAAATTTTCTAATTTTCTAGGGTTTATTTTTTTTAAACGCCCGCCTTTTCTACATTTTCTTTATTAGAAAAATTCCCCAGATAAAGTTTATGAGCAAAAATAGTTTTAAAATGATTTTCTAGTATCAGTTAGTTTTTGAGAAATTAAGGATATATATATCGGACGTGGGACCCACTAGTGCGAAAGTTCGGAAAAATTCGGCCAATAAGATTAAGTTCCGGATACTGAGTGAAATTTATCGGGTGTTAAGAGAGAAGAAGAGGAGGTGATTTGATTGATGTGAGAGAGACTTAAAGGATAGAAATGCATTTAATAGAGTGCCAAGTGGCACTTTCTCATGGGTTGGACTTTTTGACTTTTTACCCTTAAGTTAAATATCTCAAAAATTGACTAAAAATCACCATTTTTCACTCCTTGGTGGCCGACTCTCATAAGCTCAAGAAGGAAGAAGATTTCTCCAATTTTCAAGCTTCCATTTAGCTCAATCTTCCAAACCAATTGCATCAACTAGTTTCTACTCCATAAAAGTCTTCCATTAGGTGCTAGTAAGTTGTTTGGTGAAGTTTTTTAAGGAAGCTAAGGTGTTCTACAACTCCCTCTCTCTTGTTTACTAGGTAAGTGATGATTACACTTCCTCTTACACCTAATGATGTTTAATTTGTGCCTAATGGTGGCTATAGTGTTGAGAATTGTGGTTTATTTCTTGGTTTGGAATGAATTGGTGAAGTTTTTATTTTTTTGAGGAATTTTCTGGTTTAATGTGATCATGGTGTTGTGGTTATTTATGATGGTTGGTAATGAGTGGTTATGACTCTAGTAGGTGTGTATGATAGGAAATTGCAACCAATTTTGGGTTTGGATTGAAATGTGAAAAGTTAGGGTTTCATAACCCCCTTTTCTGTCCGGTTTTGGATCATATGGTTAGAGTCCGAATTGGCCTTTGCTTAAAACATGAAAGTTGTATTTATTGATGTGTTTGAGAGGTCTGTAAAATTTCAGGGCAATTGGAGTAGTGTAGAATGAGATATGTCGATTTTACTGTTGCTGTTCTGGTTGATCAGAATGTGCGAACTGCGCTTGTAATCATCTGTTTTGACTGGAATTGGTTTGGATTTGGATGTTGGTGTCTTCTGATGAAATGTAGCTTGATGTCTTAGCTATCATATTCCTTTCGAATCAATGAATTCGGACCTGTATAGACTGAGTTGGACTAATTACAGCATAGTGTAATTTGTAAACCTGCAATTACGGTTCTGGTTTGGTATTCTGCATATTTGACCTAGTTGTACTAGGATTTGGACTGAGTGGCCTTCTACATTGTTACAGCCCTGTCTCTTAGCTTCGAAACGGTGGGTCTTACATCTTCATCCGACCATCGTAGTGCTTTTGGCACCATTACCGCAAAATGACGTCAAAACTATTTTTCTGGTTTTGCGTTTAACTTTCATTTCCGGACTTTTCCCTAGCTTGACTGGTACTACTTGGAGCTTGCTGAATGGCTGTTGGATGAACTTGTTGTTGTGTGTGTACCTTTGGGATGGAATGAGGAAATAATGAAGCCATGATGGCTGGAAAAGTAAGCAAATTCAGGGGAAGTGCTGTCCGAACTTTGAAAGGACTTGATTGCATTGAGTGTATGATGGATGATTGCTGAGCCATTGAGGTGAGTGACCTCAAACTATTTCTAAAATTATTTATGAACCGTTTCTTGCATTATTTACTTTTGAACTGTTTTCAAAGTTACTTTTGGAACTGTTTTATTACATATCATGCGTGCTTGCATATCAGTGTCTTGTTATTATTGATTTTGCTTTCAATGATTGTTAAAACGAGTTTTCTAGGCGAGTGTGTACTTTATCGCACTCGACCTAAATAAATATGAAATTTTAAATGATTAATGATTGAATGCTACTTGCGCATGAATGTAAGCCTTTTGGGCTGAACTGGCCATTGCCCCTTGTTACCGGTCGTCTCGAGCCAGAAGCGGACTCGGTCGGGCGACTAGGAACTTGGGTGAACGTTTCGGTATACTCGAGTATTACCTTGTAGGTTGGTGGAGCCTGGCCAAAAGCCAGGGACGGGGTGAATGAATGCACGAATGAAACCAAAATGCAATGAAATGACAGGAGAACGAACATATCCTTTTCATGAATGTTACTATCGCTTTCCATTGTAAATGTTTCTTGAATTATTGATACTCCATATTGAAATGACATTATTGAAATGAACGATTGTGAAACTGATTTGATAACTGATTTTACTGGTTACTCGCTGAGCTTCTAGCTCACCCCAAAATGTTTTATTCCCCTCCACAGGGCTCAAGGCGAAGGAAGGGCTTGTAGTGTTTATTCATGGATTATCTCATGTATGGACTGAATTTGGATTTCCTTTTGTGTAATCATTCATATTGGGATTGTATTGAACGTTTAGAATTGATTGGATGTGTAATAGTCTAGTTTTGGACTTCCTCCTGTATAATAATTGTGATCAAGGATCAGAGTGGCGCAGTGGAAGCGTGGACGCTTCGCTTTTGATATGTAAAGTTTGGGAACCCTTGATGTATATTTGATATATATTTCTTGAAATTCAATTGAGGTTTGTAGTGAACGACTGAGTCCCGGCGAGAGCTGGGCAGGCGGCCCGCCGAACCCTCTGGTTCGCCTTAGGGGAGGTGGGGCCGTGACAGGTATTACCGCCGATTTATAAAGAATTTCTCGAGAATTGCGGGACCCCTAACGAACTTAACAAAGAAACAAGGAAAGTATATTTGGGATGCTAAGTGCGAGAGTGGTTTCCAAGAACTTAAGAAGCAATTGACCATGGCTCCAGTGTTAGCTTTGCCTAATGGGAAGGATAGCTATACGGTTTATACCGATGCTTCGAGAGAGGGGTTAGGGTGTGTTTTGATGCAAGATAGGAATGTGATTGCCTACGCATCTTGGAAGTTAAAGCCTCATGAGTAAAACTATCCAACCCATGACTTGGAGCTTGCAACTGTTGTGTTTACTTTGAAGAAATGGTGGCATTATTTATACGGGGTGACATTTGAGGTATACACGGATCATAAGAGCCTTAAGTACTTATTTTTCCAGAAGGAGCTAAATCTAAGACAACGTCAGTGGGTGGAGTTCTTAGAAGACAATGATTGTACGATTAACTACCATCCAGGAAAGGCCAACGTTGTAGCAGATGCTTTAAGTCGAAAGGCTCAACTAACAAGTTCAATGGTGGGAGAATGGAGCTTGTTAGAGGATGTATGTGAATGGAACTCTCGTCTGGAGCCGCAAAAAGTTATTTTTGGAAATATTGAGGTGAAATCGACACTATTGGATCGGATTAAAGAGAGCCAAATGAAAGAACCGACGGTACAGAAGTGGGTGGAAAGAGTGAAGAAAGGAGAATTGCCTAACTTTAACCTAGGTCCTGATGGAATTTTAAGGTTCCGAAATCGCGTCGTGGTACCTAGGAATGAAGAATTAAAGAGGAAAATTTTGGAGGAAACTCACCGTTCTAGGTATACGGTGCATCCAGGTGGTGGTAAGATTTATCAGGATCTCAAAAGTCTATATTGGTGGGATAATATGAAGGCGGAGATTGCCCAATTTGTACAAAAGTGTCTTACGTGCCAACAAGTGAAAGTTGAGCATGAAAAACCGTCGGGTTTGATACAGTCTCTAGAGATCCCTGAATGGAAGTGGGAGCACATAACGATGGATTTCGTATCAGGGTTACCACGAACTCAAAAAGGTCATGATGCGATCTGGGTGATAGTAGACCGATTAACTAAGACCGCACATTTCTTGCCAGTTAATATGAAATATTCTTTGGAGAAACTTGCTAAACTCTATATGGATGAAGTGGTGAGACTACATGGGGTACCAGTGAGCATCGTATCCGATAGAGACCCCAGGTTTGTGTCTCGATTCTGGCAAAAGCTGCAAGAGGCTCTAGGAACTAAGTTGAACTATAGTACAGCGTATCATCCTCAAACCGATGGACAATCTGAGAGAACCATTCAAACTGTTGAAGATATGCTGAGAGCCTGTATTGTAGATTTTGGAAGGAGTTGGAGCCAAGATTTAATCTTGGTTGAGTTTGCGTATAACAATAGCTATCACTCTTCTATTCAAATGGCCCCATATGAAGCATTATATGGACGAAAGTGTCGATCGCCAATTCATTGGGATGAAGTAGGAGAGAGGAAGATTATTGATTCGGCTACAATACCATGGGTTGAGGAAGCCTTCGCAAGGGTAAAGGTGATTCGTCAGAGGCTTCAAACAGCCCAAAACCGACAAAAGAGTTATGCCGATCATCAGAGGAAGGATTTAGAATTTGAAAACGTAGATAAAGTGTTTCTTAGGATTACTCCCTTGAAAGGAAAGATTGAGGCAGGAAAAGGGAAAAAGTTGCAACCGAGATATATAGGACCTTTTAATATACTCCAGCAGATAGGGAATGTGGCTTATCGACTAGAGCAGCCAGCTAGCTTGTCTCGGATTCATGATGTGTTCCATGTTTCTTTGCTTAAGAAATACCATCCGGATCCGACTCATATTTTGCCACCAGAAGATATTGAACTCGACGAGTCTTTAACCTATGAGGAACGACCCATTCGAATACTGGATAGGAAGGTGAAGGACTTGAGAAACAAGCAGATTCCACTAGTTAAGGTTCTATGGAGACATCATGAGGTGGAGGAAGTAACCTGGGAGCTGGAGAAAGACATGCAAGAGAAGTATCCCGAGTTGTTTACAACTAAATGTATGAATTTCGAGGTCGAAATTCTCTTAAGGGGGAGAGAGTGTGAGGACTTGCAAAATTCCTTATATTTTTCTTAAAAATTCCCTTTTATTTGGAAATTATTACTTTATAATAGCCTGACTACCCAATCACTCCACAATAAGTGCAAATGAACATAGAATTAAGGGTTTTTCCTTTCGTTTTCAAGTTATCGCAAATCAGGGTTTTACGCCTATCATGGTGTGACTATCCAGTATGGAGTGGGGATCAAATTTGGTGAGTAAGAGTGAGTTTTAGATTATATTATGTGTGTGATTAGAAGTGATAATAATAAGTTAGTGAATTATAAGATAAAACCCTAGTATACGCGATTTAAGGAAAACCTGCTCGAACCGACGGGTATCGTTCACTACCGATTGAACACACCACTTGACAACTACTTTCTTACCATAAAATCTCGTTGATATTAGTGCAAAATATCAGCCGTTCGTGAGTTCGTGACATGATCTGGAGCACCAACGTTGCTCCCCCTTATTGTTGAACGTTGAATGTTAAATGATCTATTTGAGCGTTGGGGGTTCAAGTGTTATGACTTCACTGGCTCACGAGAGCAATAAACGGACATTTGTTCTTTGAATCATGACATCATCGAAAGGATCGAAATGCAATATTGTGAAATATATTTGATTACTGATTTTGCTGGTTACTCGCTGAGCTTCTAGCTCACCCCAAAAATATTTTATTCCCCTCCACAGGGCTCAAGGCGAAGGAAGGACTTGTTGTGCTTATTCACATGATGGATGGCCTATATTTTGTACAATTTGGATTTGGAATCATTTTATGTATAGTTGGGAATTGTTTCCGCTGCATTTGTGACATGTAATTATTGGAGAATGTGATGTAATATTTGAGTTTTATCTTGTAATCTGTTTGAGGATTGTAGTGAACGACTGAGTCCCGGTGAGAGCTGGGCAGGCGGCCCGCCGAACCCTTTGGTTCGCCTTAGGGGGAGGTGGGGCCGTCACAGTTGGTATCAGACAGCCCCACCTCCCCCTAAGGCGAACCAAAGGGTTCGGCGGACCGCCTGCCCAGCTCTCGCCGGGACTCAGTCGTTCACTACAGTCCTCAAACAAATATAAGATAAATCTCCATATAACTCAAATATTACATCAAATTCTCCAATAATTACATGTCAAAAGCAAAGCGGAAATAATTCTCAACTATACCTAAAATGATTTCCAAATCCAAATTGTACAAAACATAGGCCATCCAGTCACGTGCACAAGTACTACAAGTCCTTCCTTCGCCTTGAGCCCTGTGGAGGGGAATAAAATATTTTTGGGGTGAGCTAGAAGCTCAGCGAGTAACCAGGAAAATCATTAAACAAATATATTTCACAATGTTGCATTTCGATCATTTCAATGATGTCATGATTCAGAGATCAAATGTACGTTTAGTGCTCTCGTGAGCCGGTGAAGTCACAGCACTTGAACACCCAACGCTCAAATAGATCATTTAACATTAACATTAACATTAGGAGGGAGCCCCTTTTTGAGCTCCAGATAAACATGAACATGAACCACAAACAGAGTGGAGACGTTGGTGTCCAGCACAAGACTTTCCCAGAACTCATTGAAGCCAAAATCATATCATGAATTCACATGCAAGCACGCATGAGATGCAATCGAGTAAATAATGCAAGAAACATTTCACAAGTACTTTGAAAATAGTTTAGGGTCACTCACCTCCATGGCTCAGAAACCATCCATCATATATCATTGCCTTGCTCAAATCCGAGTCTTAGATCACAAACTCAATGCAATAAGTCCCTTCAAAGTTCGGACAGCACTTCCCCTAAATTTGCTAACTTTTCCAGCCATCATGGCTTCATTATCCTCAGCCAGTCCCAAAGGTACACACACAACAACAAGTTCATCCAATAGCCATTCAGCAAGCTCCAAGTAGTACCAGTCAAGCTAGGGAAAAGTCCGGAAATGAAAGTTAAGCTCAAAACCAGAAAAATAGTTTTTGACGTCATTTTACGGTAATGGTACCAAAGGCACTACGATTGTCGGATGAAGGTACAAGACCCACCGTTTCGAAGCTAAGAGACAGGGCTACAATATTGCAGAAGGTCACTCAACCCAGTTCCGAGTGTAACCAGGTAAAAAATGCAAGATACCATACCAGAATCACAAAAACAGATTCACAAAACGCATTCTAGCGGAAACATCATAACTCAGGCTCTCCAAGTCCAAATCCAGAAATTCCAAAACCAGCTGAAAGATAAGAAACAGGGATAAATTTCATCAGAAGACCTCAACAACCAATTCGGAAGAAATTCCAGCCAAAACAACCAATTACAGGCGCAGTTCTCAATTTCGGGTAAAACCAGAACAGCAATAGTAATTTCGACTTATCTCATTCTACACTACTCCGATTGACCTGAAATTTTGTAGGAACCTCTAAACTGTCATTCCCTACAACTTTCATGTTTTGAGCTAAGGCCAATTCGTTCTCTATATAGGACCTAAAAATTCGGACAGAATGCTCCCTTAAGAACCCTAGGTTTTTCAATTTTCTTCCAAAACAGAAATTACTTGCAATCTTCCTCTTTTTCCACCTTCTAGAATCATTATATACCATTTACAAACATCATAGATAGCCACACAATCATGTTCATATTCAAACAGAAAAATCCCCAAAAAATATAAAAGTTCATCAATTCAACCACAACTCAAAATATAATCCATAAAATGGCATCTCTTACTACCACTAAGCATGATTTAAGCATCAATTAAGAGAGGAGGGTGGTTCTTCACAACTTACCTTGAACACAAGAGAGAGAGAGCTATTGGTCACCTTAACTTTCCAAACAACTCCACCAAACAACTCACAAACACTAAGTGAAGAGGTTTTATGGAGTAAAACTAAAATTAAACGGTTAAAAGTGAAGATTAAGCAAGCTTGGAGCAAAGAAATTGGAGAGCTTTTCTTCACTTATTGCTTGAAGGTGGTCGGCCATATGAAGCTTAGAAATGAAGATATTTTGGGTCATTTTTGGTTATTTAAGTCAATGGTAAGAAAGGTCTTAAGGTAAGCCCAATCAAATGGTGACACTTGTCACCTTTAGGTTTAAAACTTATCTTTTTGTCTCTCCAATACAAATATCTTAACACTTTGTAAAATAATATCACTTAATACAAATTTTCAACAAGTTGTCAAAAATATAATGCATTTACCGCACTTGCGGGTCCCACGTTCAAAATACGCTTTTAATTTCTCAAAAATTAACCGATACTAGAAAAATCATTTTCAAACTATCTTTGCTCATAAACTTTATCTGAGGAATTTTTCTAATAAAGAAAATGTAGAAAAGGCGGGCGTTTAAATAAAATAAACACTAGAAAATTAGAAAATTTCCGGGTTCTCACACTCATTCTTTTCGGGGCGTCACACATACTCAGCTTAGGTTGGCCAAAAATGTTGACAAAAAACAACAAGGGAAAAGAAAAAAATTTGAGAGTTAATCTCCAAGCGACAAGTGGCGGTCATCTAAAGGTTGTTGTCCAACTAATTTCTTCCATATTTATCACCAAAAAACCACTCAAATTGCCCTTCATTCCACCATACCAGCTGTGAGAGAGAGGGAGAAAAACAAGAGAAAGAGAACTTCAATTCCATCTTGGGTTGAGCTTGATTGAGTGAGAAAACAAAAAAACTAAACCGATTAACTCATAAATTGAGAGCTTAGGAAGCTTGGGGAGCTAAATTTCAGAAGGAGAGGTGAAGGATATCTCTTGCAAGCCCTTTTATTGAGATATTATCGCTGACCATCCTCTCTCTTTCCCTTAGTTTTGTTTGAGTTATGTAGTAACTTGTATTCTTGCTTTGTGATGCCTAATCTAGGTGATTTTGATGATTGTAGTGGTGAATTTTGAGTTAGGGTTTTGAATGGTTCACTTATAATTCTTTTTTTTGGGATGGTACATGGTGTATATAATCTTGTATAGGATGTTGTGGTAGTGGTTTAAGCTAGAAATGTGAAGTTTACCCTTTGAATTTACCAAATTCCAGATTGGAGTATTCATGTGACCCTGTTTTAACCGGTTCTGTTTGACCATGATGGAGGCCGAATTAGGTTTTGTACAAAACATAAAAGTTGTAGGTAATGATGTTTTATAGCTTCCTGTAAAAGTTCAGCTCAATCTGAGTACTGTATCACAATAAAAGACAAAAATACCCCTGACTGCCATAGGTAGAGCTCTGTGGACAGTTTTGACATTTCACTAATCTGACCTCATTTTTTCACCCTGATCCGTACTGAATTAGCATTTGACCAAAACATAGAAGTTGTAGTAATATGTTTTAGCTTTCGAACGCCCCTGAAAATGCCTCAATCGGACTTCGGTAACCTGAGTTATTGTCATTTGAACATAGTACGGTTAACTAGCCTGTTGGTGAGATTCTGGTTCTGTAATTTGAAAATTTGACCCAGATACACTATGAACAGGGTTAAGTGGTCTTCATCAAAGTTGTAGCCCCCTGTCTTAACTTCTAAACGGTATAAATTCCACCTCAATCTGATAAGCGTAGCTTCAGTTGTGACCGATATGCTAGGAGACATCGAATCTGTTTTTTGTTTTATGACTTACATCTCATTTCCGGACATTTTTTTTCTAGCTTGATTTTGTACTTGTATGACATTGACCCTATTGAACGGCTATTGTAATGAGATTATTTTGTGTGTGACTTGTGGACTGATTGAGGAAATGAATGAAGCCATAAATCGCTGGAAAATAGGTAAATACAAAGGGCGTGCTGCCCAAATTTACGCTCGAGAGCTAGGTAGATATACTTGCGACTTGAGTAAAGCTTGAGAGCGAATACCACTTGAACCTTCTAGGATCTTTGCGTCTTCTTTTATCGAGGTATATAAGTTAGAATTTGACTGAACTTGTACCCTTGGGAAATGAAATAACGACTACTAGAAATACGTCTTCCTCGTTCTTTCGACTCAAATGGTATTTTCAAGTATAATTGCTACAAAATTTCACAGTTTGAAAAGCGAGCAAGTGTTTCACGAATATTCTCCAAATGAATTTCAGTTACTTGATTCTTATTGAACGAAACGTTTAAGTTTCGAATCTTAGTCATTTTTCAAAGTTCTTAAACAAAGTTTTATCGTAGATTTGGACTCCAAACCCGGAGTACAACCCAGACGTGCTCATTAGAGGCACTACATTTTGGTGAGTGCTTCCAAATATCTGATTGAACTTGACAT